CCCCCCCCCCCCCCCCCCGCTCCGTCCCCAAATACAAAGGAAAACACACAACACTGAATTTCCCCTCCCCCGCCCCATCCCAAACCCTAAACCCTAAACCCTGAACCCTAAACCCTAAACCCTAAACCCTAAACCCTAAACCCTAAACCCTACACCCTAACCGGAAACACCGAGGGCGCGCCTCTTCGCCCAAAGCCGGTGACGCCTGGGGCTTGGCCTGGGCCGCAGCAGAGGGCTTGGGAGGGCTTTCTCTTTAGTTAATGTTAGGGTTTAAGGCTTTAAAGTAGGCTTTAACTGGTCAGGGCTTCAAGATTTAGGGGTTTAGGGTTTTAGGGGTTTAGGGTTGCGGCTTTTGCGGCTTTGGGGTTTAGTGCCGCTGTCTGACTGTGCCTTGTGAAGCTTGTAAAGTCTTGAACCTCAGTGGCTTCTGGATGTCGTCCACTTCGAGCTCTCTGGCGGCTGTGTTCCATCTCTGCTTGTTGAACCTGCTCGAGCCATCGAGACAGAGAACCTCCTTGGCCTCTGCGGTCGCCGTCTCATCCTTGAGCAGTATGTGCGTCCTTGACTCGGTTTCCTTGAGGCGGAGTCCGAACACCACCAGTCGCAGCGGACCGTGCTGCTCTCCCTCTGAGTTGCGCCGCCGGGGCAACCACGGCACAAACCATGTGCCTACTGTGCTCCAGAAGGTCATGCATGTCAGCCTCGAGAGCCTGACAAGGTTACAAATTCACTTGGAACGAGGGGGGGGGGGGGGGGGAATCGACTGCAGGGGCCCGCATGGCGCAAAGGGGCCAGCAGGACTCTTAGCGGCCTCTTCGAAATCTAGTCTAGCTGAGCTGTATAAGTGTACCCTGGAATCGTGACAAGCAGGCGAGTTTGCTCCCAAGCAGAACAAATCTAATCTACTCTAAAAGCCCAAAAGTTGGAAACCAATAGCCTCAATCCTTAAGAGTCATGTATACGGAATCCCAGCACTAATTGGCCTTAATCCGGGGTCCGACTTTTTTGGGTTTACTATAATCTCAGCTGCCTCGGTCTCACGATTGCCTAATGTAGGGGGCCTCAGTAATTTGAGTAGGGTCTTGGTGCATATTCTACTATAATTATAATAAGGAGCCCCCAAACTAGTATAGGTAATTATTAAGGCCCTTTTTTATGCGGATTTCGATAGTGTTCCGACGCAAGACCACTTCCAATCGAATCAACCTGGGACTTCGACGCCGACTTGACCCTCTACACCCAGAGAAAACCATAAACCCTAGACTAAACCCTGAACCCTGAATCCTAAACCCTAGAGAAAACCCTAAACCCTAAATCCCAAGCCCCAAACTCTGAAGTTTCTGAAGGTACGGAGACTGTTTCACATCTCAAACCCAGAGCATCGCCGTCGGGTTGGGGATGGTAAGGGCGCTTATTGGGCGGGGGGGGGGGGGCGGTCCTAAATCCCTCACCGTCCCCACTCTTCTTACAGGCTTGTGGATAACATAGGGGCCTTTATAATTAGAAGAGCGTTTTGGGGCCCATTATACTATAAAAATATGAAGGAACCGCCAAACTAGTATTGGTAATTATTTAGGCCCCTACATTACAACTCAAAGTTCTTGCGGGTTCATGGTTCAGAGGTTAACCCCTAAACCATGGACGACACCTTGGCTGAGAGACTAAGAACTAAATGCTGCAGCTGGGAAACCTCAACATGCGTCCAGGCCTCAAGCCTCTGTGCCATATGCCGTGGACCTTCTTCGTTAACAAATTATAAGATTTTTGAGACTCCGAAAGAAGGTACAGCCCAACCCAAAACTCTAAACCTCCTTGTATCTCTCTCTCTCTCTCCCCGTCTTTCTCACTCTCTATCTATGTATCTACCTGTAAACACCATATACATATATATATATACACACACATACATATAAGTCGTTTATTCATACTATATACAAGCTTCACTTTAGTTCAATCAAAAGCCCGTGACTCTAAAGCTCACAGAGGGAGCGATGCACAGAGATGCACGCCAAGGGGTCGAAGTCAGCCAACCAGCCTCGGCTTCAAATTTTATAACCTTAGAGCTCTAGGGGTTTCCGGGTTTAGAGCCGTTTAGGATTTATTAGGGTTCAGGGTTTAGGGTTTAGGGGTTCAGGGTTTAAGGTTTAAGGGCTTTGGAGTATGGGATCAGGGAGCGCGAGGATAGACCTTTCTTCAGTCGTCGGGGTTTCAGATGCCTGGGCTTGCAGGGTTTATCTTGGCTAGGACCCTAGAAGTCAAAATATGCTCAGGCCCCCAAACTTTAAAGTCCTAATGTAGGGGCCTTGATAATTCGAATAGGGTTTTGGGGTATACTATACTACAATTGTAGTAAGGAGCCCCCATAATAATAGTATAAGTGGTTCTTTAGGCCGCTATATTCATTCAACCCCACCACAAATCGCCGACATAATAGTAGTGTAACGCAGGAATCTGTCTACCAACGCCCAATTGGGCTTGGAACACGTAACCAAGGGTGAGTTTTGTAAGCAGCTGTTCAATCAGCTCGAGCTGATATGGGGAATAATCGAATCAGAATGCCTGCGGCCAGACTTCTAATAGCTTGCGGCTTGTGCGGCACCTTTGATGTGGGCGTCTAAACATGTTCCCCCCTAATCTACCCTAAGCCACAAACCACCATAATATATTACATGGGCTACCTGGTGGATAACCCTAAACCCTAAAGTCTAAACCGAATTCAACATGTACACCATGCCCCACGGCCATTACTCTTGAAAGCTCGGTCCTGTGTATGCATACACATACACATATACATATGCATATGCATGTTCATATCAATGCATACATGCATACATACATATGTATAGAATATACATGTACAGATATGTGATAGATAGGTAGATAGATGTGTATATGCATCCTCAAACCTGAACCCAAAACACTGAAGCTTATGACGCTAACACCCTAAAACAAACAGCCGAAGCCACATAAACACGAAAAACCCTAACGCCCGATATCCTCTGGGCATCGGGCGATCTTTCTGCCCATCGACTGGTGCGGCTGGGCCGCTTGAGGGGAAGTTGGCAAATCCCTCCATGCCTCTCAGGTGGCTCGCTGCGGGTTCGCGGTCTGGGATTTGGGGTTTCCAGTTCGGTCTCGCAAACGGGATTCTGTGGTTTAGGGTTCAGGCTTTAGGCTATGTAATACTAACTTTAACCGTTACGGATCTAAACCCCCAGACTGCGAATCTGGAGACCCCTAATCTCTTTTAATTGAATCCGACAACCAGAACCCTAAACCCCTATACCCTAAACCCCAAACCCCAAACCAGAACCTCGACAAAACGCAGCGATTTCGACCGCAGTTAGCATCCCTGTTGGCCGTGAACACCCCCAAGGATGGGAAAGCCAATTCTCGCTCTTTGTGATTGGGGTCAGGAGTCGACCATGGCGTCATGTTAGGGTATGTGGTTGAACTTGTTATAAGTTGTTATGATTATTGTTATTATTATTGTTATTATTATTCTTCTTATTATTATAGTATAATATACNNAGGGGTCAGGGTTTAGAGTTTAGGGGGTAACGGGGTTTTAGGGTTTTTTTGAAGGTGCAATGGACTTTCGCTCGCAACAAGGCCCCACAACAAGGCGTACAGGGTGATACAAAGGTTTATGGGGATTCAGAGGTTCAGGGTGCAAAAGGTTCAGGTTTACTTTGAATCCCCCAACTACCCTCTGCAACAGCCTATACAGACATCCTTTACCAAGGGCCATCAAGGTCTTAGTGAGAGGTGCTTAGGGGGTCAAGGTCGGGTTCAGGGCATTTCAAGCAAGACCTCCTGCTCTACAGCATCAGAACCGGCATCGCAGCATCTGGGGCACGGTTTAGGGTTTAGGGTCTGGCGATAAAATCATGCGAGCCCAGATACAACGAGAGTAAACAAGCCTACGACCCAACGATCCGGTAAACCAGAAAGAAGAGAGCCAGTGGCAAAGCCTAAGAGGTCGAGGCTACAAGGTTATGTAATGTGGTGTCTGACTCCTCTTTGACCGGTCGTTGCAAGTCTCTGGGGCTTGAATAACAGGGGCCTTACCACTTAGAAGAGGGTTTTGGGGTCCATTA